TAAGTTTTGGGGCCAACAAATCATATGTTGGGATTCAATCGATACAAATTGGGTAGATTTTCATATCCGTGCATTTTTCATTATTTATCTATTGAACTAGAACCGATGAACACTAAGTTATACCCATATCCTGATCAAATCAACAACTTAAAGTAAGAAAAATCTACACTGGGGTGTCCGTGCATTTTTCATTATTTTAGTGCGCAAAACTTTTGTTGCCACCATGAGGACTTAGTTGTGATCCACGTTACAAATGGTCAACTTCATGCCACGTTTACAACCGAAGATAGCACACAAACTAACCGCTACTATCAGAGCTCTTTCTTCTTCTTCAGACGACGTGCCTGTCTCTTGTGTTTGGCTTTGTTTATTGATTTCATCACCCGTTGTCGAGATGCTGCTGCTTTGCAGGCTGACTTTTTTCTTCTAAACCTTTCAATGGCCAACTCCTCCTCCCGGGCCTTGAGTTATAAGAGCATCCCAAATAGGCGGCATAAAAGTTTCGCGCACTAAAATAGTTTTAGCGCGTCACTGTAGCACTTTTCACGCGCCGGACTCAATATTGATTTATCAGATGCCCCAAAAACGCGCGCAAAAAAAAAACACGCAGTGCAAATTATGAAGCGCGCGCAATCTGGCGCCCCAAATTTGTAGCGTGTTCCCAACCTTTTTTTGCGTGCGCACTATTTTACAGCCTCTGCTGGAGCTGTCCGGCGTCCAGAAAATCTGAATTTTAGCGCGCGAAGCAGTTTTCGGGCGCATGTTGGAGATGCTCTCAAACCACCAATTTCATTCCGAACCCCCCTTGCAAGCGGCTAGCACAAGCGATACATGTCGGAGAGATCGCCCACTAGCACTGCTTTTTGGGCGGCGAGGCAGCAGTGAGATTTTGACCGGTCTTAGGAAGGTTCTAGAATTTTTTGCCTTATTTTTGGAAGATTCCAAAAGGTCTTTCTCGCCCTTTTTTTCTTCTGTTTTCTATATCTTTTACCTTTTTTTCGTTTTTAATCAACTCACAAACATATTTTGATTTACTTTTAAAATTCACAAACATTTTTAGAAATTATAGACTATTTTTTGAATTCAAGAACATTTTTGAAACTAGTGAACATTTTTTAAATTAACAAGGAATTTTTAATTTCGTGAATAGTTTTTAAATTCCGAGGAATTAAACTCACAAGCATTTTTAAATCCGTGGAATTTTTTTCATTTCATGAAAGTTTATCAAATTGGATAATTTCAAGTCCGCATTTTTTTTCAATTCATGAACATTTTTCAGTTTCATGAACATTTTTTAAAATTTCCGAACATGTTCTGAATTTGTGAGCACTTTTTAAATTTTTGAACAGTGTTCATGTTTAGATTTTTTTTATTTCGTGATATTTTCCATATTTTCATTAACTTTTGAACAATTTAAATAAAGCCTACTGAAATTATAAACAAAGTGAAAAAACCGAAATAATGACAAAGCCAAAATACCTAGGTGGCATGGGTTTTAGAGATATTGAGGTTTTCGATCTCGCTCTACTAGCTCGACAGGCATGGAGACTCATGGATGATCCTACATCGCTTAGTGCAAAATTGCTTAAAGCTGCTTACTATCCAGTGAGTAGTTTCATGGAAGCCGAGCTGGGCAACCACCCTTCGCAAATATGGCGGGCGGTGATTGATGGAAGAGAAGTCTTGAAACAGGGCTTAATCCGAAGAGTTGGAAACGGGAGATCAACAGATATTTGGAACACCAACTGGATTCCAAGAACTGGCCCCATGAGACCAATTACTTCCATCTCAGCTAATCCTCCGAGGTTAGTGTCAAAATTGATTGATCCCACATCTGCTTCATGGAGAGAGGGTCTCATCAGGGGTACTTTTTTACCGTTTGACATGGACTCAATTTTGGCGATTCCCTTGTGCACAAAATCTATTGAGGACTTTTGGGCATGGTCCGGCGAAAGGAGTGGCAAATTCACGGTGAGGTCAGCATACAGGATGGTGATGAACACAAAGCATCATCGTGAGAATTGGTTGGATGGAGCTGGTGGAGTTTCGGATATTAACACACAGAATAACGAGTGGACAAACCTATGGCATATCAAGGTGCCTTCGAAGCTTAAGGTGTTTTTGTGGAGACTAGCTCAACACTCGATCCCGTCGATGGACGTTCTGCACCGCCGCAACATGTCTACCACCACACGCTGCGCCCTGTGTGGTTGTGACGATTCATGGAAACATGCCCTGTTGGAGTGCACTATGTCTAGATGCATATGGTCTTTGGCCGATCCCTGTCTGGTGGAGCATATGAGCCAGAATGCAGACATGAATGCAAGGAACTGGATCTTCGCCATGCATGAAGTACTTTCGCAGGAGGAGTTTGTGATCATGGTGGTTACTCTATGGGCTGTCTGGAAATCTAGACGAAAGGCGATATATGAGGATATATTTGAGAGCCCTCAATCCACTCATCATTTTATCCAGGCCTATATGAATGATCTTCGGTCAATACAGCAAGATAGAAGCATAGTACGGCCGAGGGAGGGAGGAGCACGGCCAAGGACAACACGGTGGATTCACCCACCAGGAACAATGTGCAAGATCAATGTAGACGGTGCTGTTTCTAAGAATCAGAAGAGAGGAACTGCAGCGGCAATATGCAAAGACCACACTGGTAATTTCCTTGGGGCTTCGGCCATACTTGTGCGGGGTGTGTACGACCCACCGACGCTAGAAGCGCTTGCTGTTCGGGAGGCTCTAGCCCTGGCCAAAGATCTGAACTTGCAGAATCTACACGTTGCATCAGACTGTAAAGTGGTGATTGAGGACATGAAGGAGCAAAACCCAGCTGGTTATGGTGCAATTCTACATGAAATAACTGACCTTGCGAATGGTTTCGTAGAGTGTAATTTTGTTCATGAGTATAGGAGCTCGAACTTCGAGTCTCACAATCTAGCGAAGCATGCTTTAAAGTTAGGGGTGGGCCGCCATGTTTGGTTAGGACACCCTGGTAATCTCGTTTTTGTCCCTGTAAACATTTATCAGGATAAATAAAGCTTCGCGTGATTGTCTCAAAAAAAGGTCTCCATTTCAGCTCGAGCTCGGCAGCCAAGCAGCCATGGCTTCCCACCCGTCGCCGCCGCCGGAATACCCTAGACCACCCGCTCGAACCACGATAAGCGCCCTCGGCGACGACCAGCTCCGAGAGATCTTCCTCCGCCTCCCGGACCTCCGCAGCCTCGCCTCTGCCGCCTTCACCTGCCGCGCCTTCCTCGGCGCCATCCGCTCATCGCGCGCCTTCCGCCGCCGCTTCCGCGAGCTCCACGCACCCCCGCTCATCGCTCTCTTCCTCACACCCTGCATGCACACGGTACCGGCCTTCCCCTCCTCACGGCGCCCCTCCGCCGGATTCAGTCCCCTCCGAGACCACGCCGCCGCTTCCGATTCCGAGTGGGGACTCGATTTCCGCGACATTGCCTACGACGACGGCTTCATTTGCATCGAAAAGCGGACCACCAAGCAGCAAGCTTTGTACAATCCCCAAACAACTGCCCTGATTCTCGGCCCCAAGGAGGACCACGACATGCCCTACGGCAGCTCCCTTGAGTTCCACACACTCCCTCCCGAAGAGGATCAGAGGCCGTCCCGTGTGGTCTGTGTCCGTCACGACTACTCGTGGGCTTGGGTACGCGTTGCTGTCCTCTCATCCGACACCATGGAGTGGCAGATGTTCCCGGAGACTGCGATGCCGCTGCCCGAGGGCTCCATGCACGCAGCCAGCACGGTGGTGGATGGGTTTATCTGTTGGGAATTCGTGTCCCTGAATGAGGTATCTCTCAGCGAGTACATTTTGGTGCTCAACACGGATACCTTTCAGTTCTCTCGAATTGATCTGCCGCCGTCCTTGAGAGTGGTATACCCAAAATTTAAGATTGGTCAGACCAAGGATCGGAACCTCTGCATCGTCATTTTTTAGAACGAAGGCTCGCGAAGAGCCCGGCTTTGAATTAACAAAGCCATCAACCGGCCAGGATTACAAACTCTGAAGCACAACCTCGACACAAACCAGAAAAAGAAAACACGGCAAGATACAATGATGCCGGGAGCAGCTCACATGCCAGACATGCATACAACAAACTGAAAAAAATCTACATGAAGCACCAAGCTTGAAGATGACAAGGCCTCTTGCACGCGCGAAGCCTAGGAGAAGGGGAAGGCCGGCGAAGGAGAGGAAGAGCAGATGACCGAGAGAGGCAGCCATAGCCACAACACCTGGGACCAGCCGGGAAACACCACCATCCAGATCCATCGTCGAAAGAGGCCCCTGCCTCCTCGCCTGACTCGAAAGGCGCCGAACCGTCGACAATGAACACGTTCACCCTAGAACCTGGATGAGTGGCACCGATGGCATCCACATTGTTGGGACTAGGCAGACGCGACCTGTCGTCGACTTCTCACCTAGAGCAGAGCATCACCTAAAACCAAAGACTCGGGCAGTTCAAGAGGAGAGCTGCCAGGATGAACTACGGAGCAGCAGCCAGGGACATGGCCTGAACCAGGGGGACACTACCACCGCTGGCGTTTACTGCTGCCGCCAACACCCACCACACACAGCACATCGAAGACCAAATTCCCACCTTGCTCCCATAGCAGCGCCTTCAAGAAGGATACGGCGCCAAGGGCGTCGCCGCCGCCCAACAGCGTTGGGGTTTTCACCCGGGAGTATAAGGGGGAGGGGGTGGGGAAGGTATACCTGACCAGCGCCTCCAAGAAGGTGCGCGGCGCCCGCGGGCATCGCCGCCGTCACAGCCAGCAGGACGGCTAGGGATTTCTCCTGGCAATCTTCCGGTCCCCACTCCCACCCGGCGAAGAACCGGCGTCCAAGACGGAGCCGGCCAGATCTGGGGGGAGGACTTGCGAATCCGCCGTAGAGGGTGGTAGGCGGCCAGATCAGAAGCCGCGGAGCCGAAGCCGCCGCCGCCACGCCCTGGCTCGCATCCACCGGGTACCTCGCCGTCCACACGGCCGAGGGGCACCGGCCCGCACCTGCGCCACCATGCGCCGAGGATCCGGTGGCGCCAATCCCGCCGGGGCCGCCGCCCCGGGTTCCGATCTGCACAGCCGGTGATGATGGCGTCCAGAGATTTGTGCTGCACAGTACGTTCCCGTTGCACGCTAGATTTATGGAGGTCACCAGCTGTTCAGTGGAAGATAAATTCTCTGTGCAGCTTATGACGGTCTTCAATGGCTTTGTGTACCTTTCTATTTGCCCCTGGAAGAATTTCAGGGATAAGTACAAATCCCCTGAGTGGTTCATGTCCTTCTCTCTGGAAACAGCGGAGCTGAACCAGCATTTTAAGAACAGAAAGCGAATTGGCTGCCCTGTCCATCCCTATTTGGCCTGGCCTCCTTTATTAGACAACAGGTGAGCCTATTCTTGTGTCTGATCATGGTGCTAAGGATTCCCTTTTATGTTTGGTCTGTAAATTGTATGCTATGAAGTTTCCTGAGATGATTGGGTTGATGTATTGCTGTGAAGATATTCTATCGATTTTTGGTCAAATTTACATGTCTTATTTGCATAACTCATAGTAGAGGAGCTGATAGTGATGCTCCTATTCCTTCCAAAAAATAGTAGACGACCTCAACTACTTGTACATTGCTGCAAGGATGCAAATTGTCAAGGGTTTCTGCAGGTTATATGATAGCGTTTTGATACAAATCTCCACATACATAATCTATAACTGTAAGACAATAAGTTTTGGGAACCAGCACGACCCTCTAGGGGTGGCTTATCTCATTATATATAATGGTTGTGTTACAATACGTACATAGGTACAGAAGTTATACATAGTCTAACACCCTCCCTCAATCTTAGCCACTTTCTATAGAACTGAGAAGGGTAAGATTGCGCCTACAAGCCTCAAACTGTGGCAGTGGTAAAGGCTTAGTGAAGATGTCTGCAAGTTGATCCTTAGACGAGATAAACTTGATCTGGAGTTGCTTCTGTGATACACGTTCCCGTACAAAGTGATAGTCAACTTCAATGTGTTTCGTTCGGGCATGAAATACTGGATTTGCAGAAAGGTATGTAGCACCGATGTTATCACACCAAAGAATAGGAGGCTGTGGTTGAGACAAACCCAACTCCTGAAGCAAAGACTGCACCCAAATAATCTCTGCAGTAGCATTAGCCACAGCCTTGCACTCAGCTTCAGTACTGCTACGTGACACAGTAGCCTGTTTCCGAGCACTCCAGGCGATCAAATTAGAGCCAAAGAATACTGCATAACCCCCCGTGGATCGCCTGTCATCTGGGCTACCAGCCCAATCTGCATCAGAGAAGGCCGAAAGGACCCGAGAGGAAGTCGGCCGAATATGCATACCAAAAGTCAGAGTGAACTGAACATAACGAAGAATGCGTTTAACAACAGCCCAATGAGTATCTCTGGGAGCCTGAAGATACTGACAAACCCTGTTAACAGCATAAGAGATATCTGGTCTCGTGATCGTCAAGTACTGAAGTCCACCAACAATGCTTCTGTACTCTGTGGCATCCGCAGGAGACAAAAGCTCACCATCAACAGCTGTTATCTTGTCGGTAGACGACATGGGTGTGGTGGTCGGTTTGCACTTCAGCATGCCGGCTTTTTGTAACAACTCCAAGGAGTACTTCTTCTGCGTAAGGACAAGACCAGTAGCACGAGAAGTGACCTCAACTCCAAGAAAGTAGTGAAGCTTCTCAAGATCTTTGACCGCAAAATCAGCACCAAGAGAGCAGACAAGAGCATCAGCAGCATACTGAGAAGAGCTGACAAGGATAATATCATCGACATATACCAAAAGATACATAGTGACTTCTGGCTTCTGTAGAAGAAATAATGAAGTGTCAGCAGTGGACGGCACAAACCCATGAGCACGAAGGGCAGAGGCAAGGCGGGCATGCCAGGCACGAGGAGCTTGCTTCAAACCATATAGTGCTTTGGAAAGACGACAGATATAGTCAGGACGATCAGGATCAGAGAAACCAGGCGGCTGTTTCATATAAACCTCTTCCTCCAAAAATCCATGTAGAAAGGCATTCTGCACATCAAGTTGACGAAGTGACCAACCACGAGAAACAGCAATGGAGAGAAGAAGCCGAATAGTGGTAGGCTTGACGACAGGACTGAAGGTGTCCTCATAGTCAAGACCATGACGCTGCCGAAAACCGTGAGCAACAAGTCGCGCTTTGTAACGCTCAATAGATCCATCCGAATGCTTCTTCACTTTGAATACCCATTTTGAGTCAATAACATTTACCCGTGGTGGTGGAGGAACGAGAGTCCATGTCTTGTTACGAAGAAGAGCATGAAACTCCTGCTCCATAGCCTCTCGCCAATGTGGAATGCGCAGGGCAGCCTGATATGAGCGAGGCTCAGAAGATGGATCCGCAACAGCAGCAGCCAAACAAGCAGCCAACCAAGCAACCGTACCATCCGTACGTTCCTTAGGTTTGAAAATGCCACTGCGACTGCGTGTATGTGGTCGAGACACAGGAACCACCGAGGTCGACGGAGCAGCCTGCAACGGGCTGGAGGACGGCGACGTTGATGAGTCAGCCGGTGACGAGGAGCCAGGCACGGTAGCCTCGGACTTAGTCGGCGAAGAAGGCCGGCCCACCGGCGAAACCGGCAGAGCAGACGAAGCAGCTGGCGACTCCGGCATCCCAGACCGGGCCGATGGCGAGCTCGGCATAGTGGACCGTGGCGCGGCCGGTGTCGCGGGCCGATCCGCTGATGAAGGCGACGTGAGGACCCGAGCCGCGGGCGAAGACGGCGTGACGGGCCGAGCCACGGGCGACTCGGCGGCCGCTGGTGAAAAAGGTCGAGCCGCTGGAGACTCGGCGATCACTGGCGTAGCAGACCGAGCAGTGGAGATGCTCGGCGCGACGGGCTCGTCGGGTGACCATGCATGGGCACGCGAATCGATGCCATGCAACATAGGGCGATCGACGTGCCCACCAGAAGACGACGATGATGATGGTGAATCCTCCAACAGCTCCAAACGAGCTCCACGTCCGGTTCCTGCACCATGGTTAGGTAACAGCAAAGGAGAGTATGCAACATCATCAAATTGGTCAGAAGCAACAGAGGATGAATGCAGGGATGGTGGTTCGACAGTGGACACAGGAAGGTTGGCAAAGGGAAAAACATGCTCATCAAACATGACGTCCCGAGATATATAGACACGATTAGTGGGAACATGAAGACATTTGTAACCTTTATGAAGAGAGCTATAGCCAAGGAAAACACACTTCTTAGAACGAAACTCAAGCTTGCGCTTGTTATATGGACGAAGATGCGGCCAGCAAGCACACCCAAATACCTTGAGAAAGGTATAATCAGGTTGTTCATTAAGGAGAACCTCAATGGGAGTCTTCATGTTTAAAACACGAGTAGGAGTACGGTTGATGAGAAAGCATGCAGTGGTGAAAGCATCACTCCAAAACCGAAACGGAACAGATGCATGGGCCAAAAGAGTAAGACCAGCTTCAACAATATGACGATGCTTACGTTCGACTGAACCATTCTGCTGATGCGTATGTGGACATGCTAAACGATGAGCTATCCCAAGCGACTGAAAGAAGGAGTTGAGGTTGCGATACTTGCCCCCCCAGTCCGACTGGACATGAACAATTTTGTGCTTGAGAAGACGTTCAACATGTTTTTGAAACTGAACAAAAATATTAAACACATCAGATTTGCGTTTAATAAGGTAAAGCCAGGTAAAGCGACTATAGGCATCAACGAAACTGATATAGTAATTATGACCACTGACAGAAGTCTGAGCAGGACCCCATACATCTGAAAACACAAGTTCTAACGGATGTTTCACCTCACGACTGGACTCCGAAAAAGGAAGTTGATGACTCTTCCCCTGCTGACAAGCATCACACGCTGCTACATCTTTATTACTAGACAAACTAGGAAGCTCATGACGACGCAAAATATGACGGACAATAGGTGTGGCCGGGTGACCAAGACGAGCATGCCACTGTGACGGAGAGACCCGAACTCCACTAAAAACGCGAGCGACGCCAGGATGCTCCAGACGATAGAGGCCCTGGCACAACCGCCCACTAAGAAGAATGTCCCTCGTGCCCCGATCCTTAATAAAAAGATCAAAAGGGTGAAATTCACAAAGTACATTATTATCACGTGTGAGTTTAGGAACTGAAAGAAGATTGCGGGTCACAGATGGAACGCGAAGAACATTGCGAAGCTGAAGACTCCTATTGGCATGTCTAGTGAGAAGAGATGCTTGACCAATATGAGAGATGTGCATACCTGCTCCATTGGCGGTGTGGATCTTGTCGGAGCCATGATAGGGTTAACGAGTGTGAAGCTTCCCCATCTCGCTGGTCAGATGCTCTGTCGCCCCAGAGTCCATGTACCAGTGTGGATCGATGGAGTAGGACTGAGTGTGTCCCTGGTGCTTCTGCGGCGCGGGACGATCAGCCATGGCGACCTGACGGGCATTGTTGCGTGTATCTTTGCCGTCATTGCCAAGACCAAGGAAGCTTCATTGGAAGCGCTTATGACACTTGGAGGCCCAGTGCCCATTGCGGCCACAAAGCTGACACACACGTGGACCGCCAGCCCCCGGTAAGGTCGCAGTAGGTGGGGGGGCCGAGGCGGGCGACGGTGGCAGCCCCAAGGGAGACCGGGGTGATGAAGAAGAGCGGCCACCCTTGGTGGCGACGTTGGCCGAGAGAGAGCCAGTGCCCCTGGTGCGGCGAGTCTCGACCCGTTGCTCAGTGAGAAGAAGCCGAGAGAAACCTCGTGTGCCAACATGGGTGTCGAGTTACCCCGCTCGTTGATGATCTCGACTAAGGCATCATACTCCTCATCAAGACCATTGACAATAAACGAGTTGAACTCGGAGTCGGTGAGGGGCTGTCCAATGGAGGCCAATGTGTCGGCAAGGCCCTTGACCTTGTTGTAGAACTCAGTGGCCGTGGAGTCAAGCTTCTGACACTCTCCAAGCTGACGACGGAGTGCAGAGACACGAGCCTGGGACTGCGCTGCAAAGGTGCGCTCAAGGATGGTCCAGGCCTCATGAGACGTCTTCGCGAAGACAACAAGG